CTTATTTTGAAAAACCTCACTTTGGAAAAATTGAGTTTAAAACAGTTTTAACCTGATTAACGAGTAGTTCCACTGAGACTAAAATTAAAAGACTGAAATAAATTACTGCTGTCTTAAAACAAAACTGATACAAAACTCAAAAAGCAAGATTTTATAATCACTGCTGCAGCATTTCTGTCAGTTATTCTCATTAGAAGTGGCTACGCTACAACTGCCGCTTCTGTTGCTGTCTTCACACATGTGACTCATCACATCAAWYTGAGGAATAAGTCAAATTTGATCAAAAGGACTCATTTTCATATTCCTGGCTACATTTTGATACTTGGATCATCCTGATATCATGAGCAGTTCCAGAGAAATGCCATGATTTGTCTTGATAATCATGATAATACATTGTTAWTTGGTCTGAATCTTATTTTTAGGTTATTCCAATGAGGAATTCTTAATGTCATTTGGATTTGGATATTGAGATTTCCCATCTGTAAATAAAAAAATCTTTGCTAGTTTACTKGGAAAAAGTTTAAAATTTAAGGCATTTTGGTTCAAAATTCGTTGTTGTGTAGCTACTACTCAAATAAAGTGCTTCAAAAAATTTCAGACATTTCATTTAAACAACCAAAACCCTATATCTGCCTATTTCACCTCTTTGGGTCCAGGATGTGATGGGTCACAAATAACCAAAGAATTTCAACTGTTAATTTTATAAACATTAAATAAAATGAAGTTCACATAAACCACTTTGGAGTTTTTAAGACTGTGGTGGTGTTACGTGGTGGTGTTACGATGGCAGCTTTTTGTCCTGGTTGTGCTTATATTCTTCAGCTCGTAAATCTTGTTAAAATGGAATTAAATATTAACATTAAAGGAGCAGCCTGGGGATTTCTGAGGTGACGTTCTGTTTAATAGTCATCCCCTGGATTGGTTGTGAATTATGTCACAGAGCACAAAGTATAAAGAAAAGGACAGAGCAGAGGATCGTGACATTTTCATGGATATAAAAATGGGATGACCCAGAGCTGTGAAGGATCAGAAAATCAAGAGTTTTGTGTTTCAACTCGACTCTTTTCTTCACCACAACCAATCAAACGCCCTCATTAGTGAGGAGGAAAGTATTTTTAACTGACCTAACACAGGAAATTTGATTTAATGTCAGACAGTGAGGAAAAAAAGTGTATTTTAATATGGTGTATGTAAACATCTGGTTTCAGCTTTGCATGTTGACTGGAAATATTTTAACYCTATAGTCTGTAACACGTAAGTTTAAAAAAACGATACTTAAACAGAAAACACACAGTGTGCTCTTTTATGACGAACCAACAGGAACCTGTTCCTCTCAGTCTGGATAAAATGTATTATTGTTTAATAAATACCTTCGCTGTTCTCAAGCCAAGTAGGTCAAACAATTTTATGTAATAACTCGACGACTAAAAATACACAAGCAAACTGTCAGCAGCTAATCATGTCTGATTTCTTCCAGGATGGTGCTGATGAGATTACTTTGCTCTTCTGTGTGCGGGGGGCCTGCAGCGCTCTCGTCTCCTCTTTGATGCTAACAGGTCAACTTTTGGAAGAGGAAGGAGGTTGCAAGCCTTGAGCTAGTTTTTGCATGGCTGAATATCCTCTCTCTCTCTCTCTCTCTCTCTCTCTCTCTCTCTCTCTCTCTCTCTCTCTCTCTCTCTCTC